GTTTACTTGGTAAGGCGTTTTTGTAGAGTCTTTTTGGTAGTCTCCACATACATTCATCCTTGTTCTGTGGAATACTCAGATACATATTTTTTTCTTTTGACCCTCCCAATAAAGCAAATGATTTTCTCTCAGTTTTAATATAGGTAATTTTTATTCACCTGTAACATTGTCACAGAGCCATGGTCGCCTTAGATATGCTTTCATTGAAATCTCAGCCATCTTCAAATATCCCTGCATTCATAAAGAAATAGAGAAATGATCCCATGCTAAATTTGACTGAACATACAGAATGCACATTGAAGGGAGACAGAAATATGAAAGTTATGTTGAATACCTGCATACATTTTGGATGTACAGTACTGTAGTTCCAAAGACAGTTATGTTGCTGTGTTTTTGATGATTTCTTTTTAGATTTTTTTAGTGGGACAAGTGTCATTATTTTTCAGGAGGAGGCGGTCACTCATGATTACAAGGTTTATATTGCATGATATCTTTGTTAAATGTTGAATCACTGCTAACCTAAAGAAATCATTACAAAACACTGTAAACAGAAAATAAATCAGTAAATGTGATGTCTCTGTTGTCCTTTAAAGTATGTGAGTATGTACAGGTATACAGTATGTGCAAGAAACTTACACTAAATTTGCTGTCTTTCTTTCCTGGTGTGCTGGCAAGAGTGACAACAACATCTTGAGGCAGTTCCAGGTTGATTCTCTCTTCCCTTTTTGTCAGTAGAACCACAGCTTCTTGACAGTCAACAAAAAATGTCAGTCTATCAGTCTCCAGGCTCACAGCCAACTGTACCCCCTCCACTCTGGAGAAGGGGTTTTTCCCGGGGAAGAGAAAGCTGGAAAGGCCTTGAGGTCCTCCTCCAGCCTGGTAGTCCAAACGCAGAGTGTTATTGAGGGTGGAGGAGATGATTTGAAGAATGGGTGAGGACGCAGAGGAGAGAGAAAGAAGAGTGGCAGTGGAGCCTGATGTCTGATGCCCCACCACATGGACCCCCATGCTACCCTGAACATTGGTGTAAAGGAAGTGGGAATATTCACGAGGAAGAGTCAGGTATGGTGTTCTTGGACGTAGTTTGTATGTCACACCGCCAGGACTCTGCAGTCTGGCCATGCTGCTTATGTGGTGGGACATGTTTAGAGCGGCCAGAAGGTCAATCACTAGGAAAGAGGAAAAACAGACCATCCTAACTAACATGAATACTCATCCATATCGCATGAGGCCATGTTCTGTCTAATAGAGGATGGCGCTTAGTTTCTGGGTTATGATGAGTGTGAGAGGGAATCAGAACGAAGTCATTCATCAGCCGGTCACACATGGTTGCTCCACTGACCTCAAACACAACACCAACGATAGAACATCTGATGTAACACTTTAAATCTGGAGAAGGAAACCGAAAGTTTTACGAGAAAGTTTTCTTTTGGTTTATGGGATAGATTTATGGGGTCTCCCAGCTGTGTAAAGTAGCTCAGTACATGTACACAAGTTAAGTACTTGAATACAATCAATGCTGAGTACTTTTTACTACTATTTATTCAGGCAGTATTCAAACAGGTCTCAGAATTGGATGAAGGCTTGCCACCTTCAACTAAACCTCTCTAAGACTGAACTCTTGGTCATTCCAGCCAAGCAATCTATCCACCATAACATCAAACTATAAATTGACTCCGCAACCATCACTCCAACCAAGGTGGTGAGAAACTTGGGTGTCATGATTGATGACCAGCTGTCCTTTTCAGACCACGTTGCTGCTGTCTCTCGGTCATGCCGCTTTGCTCTATACAACATAAGGAAAATCAGGCCCTACCTCACTCAGTACGCCACCCAGCTTCTGGTACAGGCCATGGTTATCTCTCACATCGACTACTGCAATGCCCTCCTAGCAGGTCTTCCAGCTTGTGCGGTGAAACCCTTACAAATGGTTCAGAACGCAGCAGCGCGTCTGGTTTTGATCAGCCCAAAAGGACTCATGTCACTCCATTACTCAGTGACCTCCACTGGCTCCCCGTGGCCTCCAGAATCAAATTTAAGTCACTAATGCTTGCATACAGAGTGACTACTGGGTCTGCACCCATCTACTTAAACTCCATAATACAAACTTACGTTCCTTCTCGGCCGCTACGCTCCTCCAACGAACGTCGCCTGGCTCTGCCATCCCTTCACACAAAGCAATCCCAGTCCCGGCTAGTCTCATCTGTGACACCACGATGGTGGAACGAGCTACCACACGCCATCAGAGCGGGGGCGTCCCTCTCTAACTTCAAGAGGCTCTTGAAAACTCATCTCTTCCGAGAACACTTCCTCTTATAACACCTCTAACTCCTAACCTCTAACATGCACTTCCAGTGCTCTTCTTCTTCTATCCCCTACAATGATCTTGTATTGATTGCACTTTTTGTTAACTCTTACTTCCTTCCCTAGGTATTTACCTCATTGATGTGATATGTACTGTGAGATCTTACTAGTATTTATTGCTGCTTTTACTAATATGTACTGTCAGTTGTAGATCTGTATTTGATGCTCTGTTGATGCTTGTATGTTGTTCCTCAAATGTAAGTCGCTTTGCATAAAAGCGTCTGCCAAATGAGTAAATGTAAATGTAAATGTACTGTAACTATACTTTGACACTGTAGAATTAGGGTACTACTTTTACCAAAGTAAAAGTACTTTTTCCACAACTGGCTCCCCAGTTTGATGACTGTGACACAAAAGCAATCTCGATATCAAATCAAAATAAAAAAGTAAAATAAGCAAAACAACAACAAACACCACCACCACAACAACAACAATAACAACAACAACATCCAGTGACTTGTAATCTAAGCACAGTTTTGTCAACTCACCATTCTCGCGATTTGGACTTGAGTGCCCCTGCACAGAAAGGGCAAAGACCCATAGCAAATGTATCTCCAGCAGCATGAGCGTCCTCAGTTTGCTGCTCTCCATTCTCCAGACGCAAAAATGGAAACCCCTGGATTAAAAATCCTTACGCAAAATTATTTTATTCATCGTACTTTTAAACATGGACCTGGGACTATACGTTAAAGACTTCCCTGTTTCTCTTCCGAGCAGACCTTTTCAAAGAGCGCGCAGGAGAAACGTGAAACATCTTGATGCAGGCAGGGCGTCGCTTTCTCTGCAGTCACACACTTACATTCCCCCCTGGGGCCATATCTGTAACAAACTTTCACTCCGTGATCACAAAGGCGGATAATTGTGAGAGGGTTGATGACTGTCACTATCTCACTATCCTTGCTCAAGATGTTACTTGCCAGAGAGAGAGAGAGAGAAAGAGAGAGAGAAAGAGAGAGATCACTATCCTTGCTAAAGATACCTGTTTTTTTTTTGCCAGAGAGAGATAGAGAGAGAGAGAAAGTTCAGGTGAGCGTGTGAGGTCACCTCTGGTTCTCCTCTCTGTCTCGTTTAGTTTCCAGTCCCAGAAGGATAGCTGTGGGTGAAGTCTTTTTTTCCCCTGTATTCCCTCATTTTGTCAGGGAAAAAAACCCACTGCTCAGTGGTGTTGATTCCCGAAGACCCGTTTTGGTAATCAGCTAAAACCTGGTCTGGAGACTGGATGGGAGCCATGGCTGCACAGAGAGAGAGAGAGAGAGAGAGAGAGGGAGAGGGGGGGTAAACACAAGTAATCATGTTTCACTGCTTTGGAAACGGTCCCAGTGTGCATCCATACATCTGTCTCCACAACCCTGGGCTTTCTCATGTTGTCCTTCTCATCTCCACTGTGTTTATTTTTGCAGAGCCTTTCTTTGAGTACACCCTCACAAGCAACTTGTTCTGAGACTTGCTACACAGAAAGGCAAAACATGCCCATCCTCTGTCTTGCTGAAATATTTTTGATGTGATGATAGGACACCCAGATATTTCATAATGGATGCAGCAGACAGGAGAGTCCCTCATTACTCCAGACTGTTTCAATCTGATTCTGTCTTTTCCAAACTTGAAGTACACCTGATTGTAACTAAGATCTTTCCAGCCTCTGTCCACATATCAAGGGAACCCTCATCCATGACTCATGCCCGTTAATCTGTAATAATCACAATTAAAAGTTTGTCCCACAGGACTTGTTATCTTTACTTACTTACTTACTTTTTTTCGTTTTTTTAGCATACATTCAATCCCTCTGGGAGGCATGGCATTTCCAGGCCGCAAGGGCTGATTGAAGACTGCGATAAAGCAGTTGGAACTGGAAGAATGAAACATATTTTTTGCTAAGGGATTTAGTTTAAGCTTTGTGAAGGAGGTAATTGACTGTAAATTCTTCACAATTCAGAAATGCCTCCCAGTGGAACAGGAACAAAATGTTACTCTCACACCCACTTTATACCCAGTGGGCCTTTCTCTTGTGTTGAAAATGTGCAGTACATTAGTGTTACACCCACCCTATATTGTGTGTGTAGGTTACATTGAGCAACTTTACAAGACTATAGTCTATAGCCATCTTTTTCATGCTTTTTCAATGAACCATAAACTATCAATGAACATGCACCTGTTGAACGGTCGTTAAGACCCTAACAGAGTACAGACGGTGGGCAATTAAGGTCACAGTTATAAAAATGTAGAGACCTTTCTACTGACTTTGAAAAACACAAGAAAGATGCACATAATCCCTGCTCATCTGTGTGAATGTGCCTTAGGCATGCTGCAAGGAGGCATTAGGACTGCCCCCTTGCAGTGGCAGACCACATGTGACAACACCTGCACAGGACCACAGGGGCACACTGATTGTCACTTTTGATTTTGAGCCCCCCTTTGTTCAGGGACACATTTTTCCATTTCTGTTACTCACATGTCTGTAAAACTTTCTTCAATTTATGTCATAGTTGTTGAATCTTCTTATGTTCATGCAAATATACTTATGTTAAGTTTGCTGAAAATAAAAGCAGTTGTAAGTGAGAGGACGTTTCTTTTTGTAGTATGTGTATATATACAGGAAAAGTCAGGGGATCACCAAAGTCAGTATAATTTATCTTGGTGCCATGAATTTTGGTGCAAAATTTAATCTTAATCCATTAAATGGTTTTTGGATATTTCAGTCTGCACCAGCCATATGGAGCCATATCAGCATACTGCATAGTCATAACATAAACGCAACATTTGTTATTGCAGTGTTGCATCATTTAATGCATTCATTTTGTAATAATTAAATTGAGAAGTCGCTTTGCACATAAAATGTTTACATATCCTCACACGTAATTACACACAACCGAAACAAAATGCACTGAAAAATGCCTGCTTCATTTCAGATGCGTGATATAAGTGTGAGAGTTTGAGAAGTGCACAGCAGGTGAGCATCAAAGTTTGAGTTACAAACTGCTTCTGCTACAATCTGTTTGTCTAGTGAAATGTCTTTCTTAAGTAGAATTGACAGTTTTGAAGGTCCAGCTCAGTTTTGAATGGTTTCAGGTCACAACATTACAAGAAAAAGCAAAACACACATTCTGGGAAAACAGATGTTCAGATGATATAGTTGTCAACTGTTATTTATCAACCATCTCCCAGGACTTCATCTTTTTTTAACAGCATCTCTGCTGACATCCAGTGGTCATATCCAATCATAACAGTGTATATACAAACTCAACAAGTCTGTTTTAACTATGTTAATCCATTCAGCTATTGCTAACTTTAGCTTAGCTCTTAATTCACTACTGTTAATGCTGCTTAAATACCATCTGTAAACATTTATATGATCTGAGATATGCTCATCCTTTGCAATCTCTCTCTTTGTCATGGACACAGACTGCATAGTGTTCAGCTTTTTCCTGAGGCAAACTTGAGTTCCCCCCCCCCTTCCTCTGACAATAGAAACCACTCACAAGCCTGCACTAACCAAAACATTTCTCATGGAGCCAGACAACAGCTTTCATCACAAGAGCCCTAAAGATATGTGCAGACACACTACTTTAAGTGTGTGTGTGCGTGCCTTTGCCTGCTGGGACAAGTGTGTAAAAGGATGTGGGTTAAACTTCCAAAGGTGAACAGACGATGTTTGATAGCTAATCCCTTGTCAGGCCCCATTAGTTGTCGCACGTCACCAACTGAACAAATCCAACAGGCGAAAGCTGTGTAGCCAAAGTACATGTACAAGTACAAGTTCTAATTTATACAATGCGCAGAAATATACATGTCCGTTTAAAGTATAATACAAGCTGCCAAGATCTAACTTACTGAAGAACATGACTTTTTTTGCTCTCTAATACTACATCTTACACAAGAACTGACTGTTGAGATTTGATTGCATGACAAACTGTCTATGGAGGTCAAGTGTTATTGTACCAGACAAAATCCGTTAGATTCACACTGGTCTTGACCTCACCGTCAGGTTCTTGCCGTATCCAATCTGATTGGCTCAGTCGCCGTGCCTGACCAGGTAAGCCCCGCCTTCAGGCTTTAGCCTCTGAGCTGAGATTTATTCCAGGATGTCCACCATAAGCTGCTGTCTGCTCTTTAATGTTTGTGGGGGGGTCAGTTAGTGTGTGTGTGGCCGGTGTTATCAATTGTTGTCATTATTCCTAAAAGCCTCCGTCTGTCTTTTTGAGTGGCACATAGTGGCATTTCAGGGTTTTGCAAATCAGAGATGCTGCTTCCATCACAAGTCAGGAGGATATGGAGGCTGACAGACAAGCTGCGGAGGATTTGACAACAACAGGTCAGTCAGCTGAGTAACAGTATAGACAGACGATCTGTGTTCACATCCATCATAACTCAGTCGCGCGTGTGATGGAAAGCTTGCATTTATTTACCTCGCAATTACAGCACAGTTATTGTTTTATTAAATGTGACCCCAGATCCTGCTAAGCCCCCTCCTCTCCCCCATACACACACACATACGCACAAACAAATGTGGCAGTGTACCTGGGACTCACGAGAGCATGATATGCTTTTTGTCACACACCTTAATTTATTTGAAATATACAACTGGAGTTTAATTTTGCAGTGAAGAAATATGGTCAAGCAGACATCTGTACAGCAGAGCTCCTGCTAGAAGGATTCATTGGATCCATAACTCTAGTAAATATTAGGATCACAGAGTTGTTGCTTAGTTGTTATGATTTCTGACCTCTCAAATGATTATGTTTGTACAAAAAGAAGAAGGGCTACTATGTTGCTGGTTTGCTCTCACTGGTCAAAACCAGGCAAAAACCTACTTAAAAGGGATTTGAGGGAATTACTGGACAGAGCCGTGTGTGTGCTTGTTTGTGCATTATTAGAAGGTCTTAACCTTATGATGATTCTTAAGACAAGCTGCCACCAAGGCACATAGTAAGGCTAGGTTTAGCCCACTAATTCATACAGTAGAAGGAGGAGAGGGGGGGGCATGTTTAGTTAATCTTGTTTGTTATTTCTCTCTGTGAACTCAGAAAGAACTGGTTCCTGAGGCCTGACTGAGCCCAGGAATGGCCCTCATTGAACTGAAATGGAGTTTCATTCTGGCCAAGGCTCTAGTCTTCTCACTGCTGGTCCTCCTATGTTTGCACACAGCCAAAGGTACAGCCACTTCACCGCTGTTCGTATTAGAGTTCAGCTCTTGGCCAGAATTAATGGATTTCTTTTGCATATGTCTTTGTGTTTGCATTGACACAGGCATGTCAGGGTGGGGTGGATGTTTGGATGGTCAGGATGTATTTGCAACAGTCAGAGAGAACAGCCTTCCCGGAGAAGTGGTTGCTGAACTCTTGGCTGACACCACAATGGAGGGAGTTCACTGGAGCCTGGATGGAAAGGATGCTGATTGGTTTGTCTTGGATGAAAGAAACATCCGGCTGAACACATCAGCTGACAAGCTCCTTGACCGAGAGGTAAATGAGTTGGGATACGCCCTTTTAAATACTGACCTGAGTGTTGGAGCTTTCTGATTATCAGGATGCCATGAATGCAATGCAAGGATTACAGAATTTATGTGTGTAATTCCATTTTGTTGAGTCTAGTGTCGGGCCGCAGTGGAGACTATGTCTCTAAGTTTAGAACAAACTGTCAGGGATTGAACCTCACAACCTTGTCCTTGGACCAAACACAATCTCTCTCACCGTCATCATCTTCCCAGCCAGCTATCTTACATCATGGCAGCGGTTAACGGGTCAACCAGATTAGCAGTCTCTCTCTCTCTCTGCCTCTTAATCTATCAACTATTGTCCCTCTATCTTTAAAATCATCATCAAAGAATATGACTAGGATCCATGTGTAGAACTCACCCTATTCAACACAGTCTGAGAGCATCAATTCAGTGTGTGGCCACCTATCTCTTGATAAAACTTTTTTTAATATTTGGGATTCGCATTTCTTACATTGTCATCATGAAGGGTTTAAGTTTAAGTGTTTAAATGTAAGAGAAGCTGCATGTTACAATATATATTTTTTACAGTTATATGACATCAAGTTAGGTGCACATCCACGTAAATATAGAGCAAAAACAAATGTAGGTGAAAAAAACAAACATTTGTTGAGTAGGCAAATGTGAGAGTTCACAACAAATCCAAAATAAGTTAAGGCATTATGTTTTGAAAATAGTTTGGAAACATTTTCATTTTGTGCGTTTA